GAGGCGGGCAGATCTCTGTGAGTGCAAAGGCAGCCTGGCCTACAGAGCGAGTTCCAGGACATCTAGGGTTACACAGAGAAACTCTGTCTTGAAAAATCAAAATAAGAAGAAGGTGGAGAAAGAGGAAGAAGAAGCATAAGTAGAAGCAGAAGGAGGAGGAAAAAGAAGGGAAGAAGGAGGAAGAAGAGGAAGGAGGAGGAAGTAGAGGAAGGAGGAAAAAGAAGGGAGGAAGGAAAGAGTAGGAAGAGGAGGAAGAGGAAGAAGAAAAAGAAGGAGAAGGAGAAAGAGAAGAAGGAGGAGGAGAAAGAGAGAGAAGAGAGAGTAAAAGAAAGAAATAAAGGAAAATTCCCTATCTTCATTGAGGGAGGGAAAACCAGGGCACAACCCTCCTCCCCGCCCCCCCATCTGAGACCGGCTCTGGGAAAACACACCCAGTAGTTTCTGGTGGAGTTTTGTTGGCACTGGCTCTGTCGCTTGCTGGTTCCCTTAGGCCACTGGCAAGGAGGAGAGTTGAAATCAGGTTCAAGAGGTACTCCCCTGGTCCTTCAGGACTCCTTCAAGATGAGCCGTGATTATCTCTACACTACCCCAGTCCCTCTAGATTCCTCTGAAGAGTATGAATTTCTCTGGCCAGCAAACATTTCCATTAGGAAGCAGAACAGGGGTGGGGGAAGCGCCTTCCCAACTGGAACCACCAGTGGGCAGTGGTGGCAGAGCAGAGAAAGAACACTGGGATTTAATTCCAGGGGCTGGCGCTTGCTCCTCGCTGCTTTGTTTGTTTGCCACAGAAAAAGTACGCAAAGGACCAGGGAAAGCTGAGGAACTTTTAAAATACACCCATGAACCCCTTGATGCCTTTTCATGAAGAAGCGGGATCTAATTCTCTCCCTCTTGAGTCTGGGCTGGACTTAAAGACTGTTCTACAGAACAGACACCCAAAGCAGAACACACCAGCTGCTTTAGGGATGAGATTAAAAGAGACACAACAGATGGCTCTTCAGAGGGAACTCGCACCAAGTCATAGGAACAAACGACCTGTGGGGAAGGCCATGGAGGAGGAACTGAGGCTTCTAGCCACCAGCCTTCAGAGGACTGCGACCTGAGTCACCCAGGGCTCTGGGTCAGATTCCAGGCTGTCAGGACCTGGGAGATAAGAGTCTGTGAGGCTTGGCTGAGGTAAACTTTTAAAGCAAACAGGTAACTAGGCCATAGGATAAGGATCACACAGTTAAGCCTTTTCATTTCCGATAACCTGGAACACAGAACTCTGAGAAAACGAAGAGGATACTGCGTGACTGTGCACTGGAGGAGGGGCCTCCGTGTGGATCCCAGGTGATCCCCATCTGTGGCACAGCCTGCTCAGGGTGAGGTACAGAGGTTTCACAAGACTAGGAATGCCAAGCCCTTGTCGGAGGTCCCCTCAGCAATGAACTGTGATATACCTGGAGGCATAGAATGAAATAGACCCTTTCCTCCTGTGGTACCTATGTGATTGGCCCTATAATCTCATAGGGAGTGGCACTACTGAAGGGGTGGCTTTGTTGGAGTGGGTATAGTCTTGTTGAGGGAAGCCATCTGGGGATGGGCTTCGAGGCTTCATATGCTCAGGACTGCCCAGTGTGGCAGTCAACTTCCTGTTGCCTGCAGGATGTAGGCCTCTCAGCTTCTACTCCAGCACCACGTTTGTCTGTGTGCTGCCGTGATGATAGTGGACCGAACCTCTAAAGCTCTAATCACGTATCCCCATTTAAATGTTTTCTTCGTAAGAGTTGCCAAGGTCATGGTGTCTTTTCACAGCAATAGAAGCCTTAAGTAAGGCATCTGCCAAGCTGCTTTGGGTCAACGTTTTTTATCACAGCAATAGAGAAGCGAACTAGGCTGCTACCTTCCAAAGCAGCACCATCAACTCAGGAATAAGTATTAAAACACACGAGGCTGTGAGGTACATCTACATCTAAAACCATAACAGGTCATCTTCCAGTGTTTTACTTGGCAACATATACCCATGTGGGTCAGCTAAAGCTTTCTGGAATGTTCTCCACTGAGAACATTTTCCTTTGTCTTCCAAAGTCCCCTATTATTGGTCCCCTATTCTCTGGCCTCTAGAAAACATCCATCCCTATATCCATGAAAGGAATTCCGGCTCTATCTAGCCCTTTGTACTTAGGAATGTCCTATATAAGTCAACAATTGAGAAGGAATGAAGCAGGAAGACAGAGCAGAGGTCTGAACTCTGGGGCATCTGAAAACAAGAGGCTCAGTGAAGCAGCGGGGGGGGGGGGGCAGAGCTAGGCTGGCCCTTCTAAGTTGTTCCAACCCTGGAGAAAGAGGGCAGACTTTGTTTCCTAGTATCAACGAGTCACTAGATATGGCCTTATCTGGAGAAGGAGGCAAAACAGTCCCATTCAGCCCCATAGAGGGTCTCAACTGAGAGCTGTCAGCTGCCAACAATTCCTGGCAGCTGAAGGCGGGCTGCACTCCTGAAAGGGGAGGGCAGAGTGTCATGGATACAAGCCATCTCCCCGGTCCCATTGTCCACACTGTTCAGGTGGAGCTTTCCCCTTCATTACTCAGTCTGCCTCCCATCAAACAGAACTTAGGGGCTGTGTTTGGGGCTCTCTCATATTGACTCTAGCTTCAGTGTGTCTTGTGGAATTAGATCTCTCTCTCTCTCTCTCTATTGTGACTTCAGAGTCTCCAGAAGTTTTACACTTATATCCTAGCAGGGTTTGCAAAGATTACAAATAATCAATATCTGTGTTGGCTAGTTGAATGGCAACATGACACGACCTATAGCAATCCGAAAGGAGGGAACTTCAATTGAGAAAATGCCTTCATAAGATCCAGCTATTAGGCATTTTCTTAATTAGTGATTGAGGGGGGGAGCTCAGGCCATTGATGGTGGGATCACCCCTGGGCTGCGGGACTTTGGTTCTATAAGAAAGCAGGCTGAGCCATCCATGAGGAATAAGCCAGCAAGGAGGAACTTTCACAGTCTTTGCCCCCAGTTCTTGCTTTTGGGTTCTTACTTGGTTTGAGATCTGGCCTTGGTTTCCCTCCTGGGCTGCAATCCAGGATATGTAAGCCTTTTAAACCCTTCACTCCCCAAATTCCTTTTGGTCATGGCGGTTTCATCAAAGCAGTAGTGACTCTAAGACAAATGCATCCAGAGGCAAGAGCAATGGTTTGGAAACTAAAACAGCCTCTTACAGTATGTACCAAACTGCATACGCCACTTAGTTCCGTGAATCTCATCTCACCATTTAGAGAATAATTAAAACCAATCTTATTTCATACAAGCTCCAGTAAGACTTTGAAGACCCTGAAATGGTGTAGAACTTAGTTCTTTGTCAACTCGACACAAGCCGGAGTCATCTGGGAAGAGGAACCTCGACTAAAAAAAGGTCTCCGTCGGACTGGTACGTACGCAAGACGGTGGGGCATTTTCTCGACTAATGATGGATGTGGGATGTCCTAGCCCATCGAGGTGCCACTTCTGAGCAAGCGGCCCTGGTGCTTAAAAGGTAAGCTCGGGAAGCCTTGGAGAGACGGCGAGCTGTTAGCGATGTCTCCCACAGCCTCTGCTTTGCTCCTGGATCCAGGTGCCCCCTGCCTTTACTCTTTCATAACAGGCTGGAAGCAGTGATGAACTACATGCTCTCCTCCCACATCGCTCTGGCCATGGAGTTTATCACAGGAATGAAAGTAAACTACAGTAGGTAATAAATTCAAAGTGCTTCTGAAAAGAAAAACGCTAAAACTAGTGTTTCACAAGGCTAGAAAATAAGTACACAGCCATGCAAGGGGGAAAATGCTGGGCTGATGAGCGAGAAATAGATACTTCTAAATAGTTATTTTTATACATATTTCTCAAGAAGTAGGGGAGAAGAGTCAATATTATTAGGACATAAATCCTCTTCACGTATCTATGAACCCAACAAAAGTCTTTAAAATTCCAAGTGTTTTGAACAGAAATTGATGTAACTGTTTCTAAAATACAAATGGAACATGAACAATCAAAAAATAAAAAGCCAAAATGAACTTCAAAGGCAGAAAGGAGAAAACCTATATACTTCTCATTTTAAAATTTACCATTAAGCAACCATAATTCAGATACCGCGGTGCCGGCATGGGGTGGGCATATGGATCCGTGCGGCAGAACTGCGATTCTAGAAGCAAGCCTTTGCTGTCAGAGTCCACTGAGTTGAGGCGAAAGTCCCATGGCAACAGGACAGAGAAAGGGCAGTCTTCCTAGCACACGGGACACGGACTAGCAGAATGCAAAAAGCTGGGCTCCAGGGATAAACTTTCAGGGGAGGAATGGAAGCCCGCATGATAAATTTGTTAAATGTACTTTAAGAAATTGCCAGACTATTCTAAAATGAGCTTAAAATGAATCAGAACATAATGTTGGTTTTCAAAAATGAAGAAGAATACACAGAAGATATTTACAACCTTGGGTTAGGCAAAATTAAAAATAGGCTTCAGATACATCAGGAAAAAAAATGAAAAGACAGCCACAACCTGAATATATATGCATATATGTATGTGTGTGTATATATATGTATATTTTATATACACATGCACACACATACATACATACATGGTATTCCATCTTAGCAAAGAGTTATATTCATAACCTTCAAGATTTCTTACTGTTTAATAATAAATCAATTAAGAATGAGGATCAATGGCAGCGGTATTCACCAAAGAAGAAACTGGAGTGGCTAAAAGGTGCTAATAATTGTTAGTCATAAAAGAAATCAAAGTGAAACCCACTTCATGCTCAAAAGAGTAGAGTCAAAAGCAAGTAGCTGTGGATAAGGGTAGGGAAGACTGGGGCCTCTTCATCCCTGGTGGGACTGTAAGAAGCACAGCAGTTTTGGGACACCTTTTCAGTTTCTTTTAAAAAAAATTAATCAAATTTACTAACTGGGAAACTTATAGTATCTACCCAAGAGATCTACACACACACACACACACACTGTGCTACTATCTTACTTTGGTTTCCGTTGGTTTGGTAAATACTATGACCAAAAAGCAATGCGGGCAGGAAAAGTTTTTCTCCTCTGACCACTGTCAGGTACTAGTCCTGGCCCAAGGGAATCCAGGGCAGGAACTCAAGGCAGGAACAGAAGCACAGACCACAGATGAACGCCGCTTGCTGACTTGTCCCCAGGCTCATGTTTAGTTGCTTTCCTTAAGTCACTCAAGATGACCTGCCAAGGCGTGGTACTGCCCACATGGCAGTCGAGAAACTCCCCCACAGACATGCCCACCGTCATCTGACAGTAACTCCTCCGCCGGGGTTCCCCCTTCCCAGCTGGCTGGCCTCGAATGAAGAGATCCACCCGCCTCTGCTTCTGCCTGTGAGTGTTGGGCCGCCACCACTGCCCAGCAACCATTCTTACTGACACTGCTGCTGGCAGTCACCTCAGGTTCCCTTAGCAAGAAGGAATGGAAGAACGGCGCCGCGCAGTCTGAGTGCTGAGAAACAGTCCCCGCTGTCACAAACTGGGCCAGCACTGTCACACTGTGGTGGTGTCTGGTCAGCAGGCCACGAACCAGGAAGTACTTTATTATTCACGGTTGTTAACTAAAATGAGAGGTAAACAAATCCTTAGCAAAAAACAGAAGGTCTAGAAAGAAGCCGTCTGCTAATTGAACAAATGTTCACTGTTCTTCATATTTTTAGCTGCAAGACAAAAACCCGAAGGCTGGGACATTTGGTACGGTAGAAAAACAGGATTCTCAAGTTAGCAAGGCCTGCGTTTTGAAACTTGGGGGTGTCTCTAGGTTAACTACGCCTTGGGCCAATGTCAGCGCAGCTCGGCCTCAGTTTCCTCGTCAGCCCAAAAGGACTGTGGCCGTTCGTGCAGGCGTGTGGAGGAATTCGCAGACGGAGTCAAGCCCTTGCCTTGGTGCTTAGCAGCCTCCCCGCGGGCTCACACCGCAGAACGGCAGGGCTGCCTCCGCAGCCAGGAAGGGTGAGGACTCACTACTTTTCCTGCCAAAATTAAACAGCCTTCCATCCACACTTTCTCTCCATCTCCCAGGCTGACTATGCTTCTCAAGGGAATTCCTAATTAGAGATCAGCCATTCAATGTAGACACAAACACACACTAATTTGGAGAAGGGGAGGGGGAAAAAAATCCCTCAACGTTAAAAAAAAAAGAAAACAAAATAAAACAAAAAACCCAGAAAAACAACAATAACGATAAAATCTACAAAGAACAAAACTCTAAAAATAATTTAAAAAAAAAGAAAACCAAAGTGTTCTACCCCTCTTAATGGTCGATTCTCTCACAGAAATCATAGACAGCACTTGGAAGAACACTCTGATCTGTCTGTGCACTGGGCACGTGACAGAAGGCAGACGCTGGGTAGGGTGCTCGTGAAAGCGGACGGGCAGGTCATCAGATCCAAGCTCAGGTCAACCATAAAAGGTGGAGAGGGATGGGAGGGAGCAGAAGAGACAGCATGTGTCTATGTTAGTGTGTGTGTGTGTGTGTGTGTGTGTGTGTGTGAGAGAGAGAGAGGGGGGGGAGAGGGGGGAGGGGATATGACTACAAGCTATAAAAAGGTCTAGTCAGGGCTGGTAAGACAGTTCAGCAGATAAAGGCCCTTGATGCCAAGACTAAAGACCTGAGTTTGATCCTCAAGATTCACTCATGGAAAAAGAGAACTGGATTCCAAAGGCTTCCATATGTGTTCATTCTCATTCTTTCTTCTCTCTCTCTCTCTCTCTCTCTCTCTCTCTCTCTCTCTCTCTCTCTCTCTCTCATACACACACACACACACTAAGGAGGTAAACGCAAAAGAACAAAAATTAAAAAAGACCCTATTCAAACTGACAAGATAAGCCTACATCTTTCAAGTGGTGTGCAAACGTAGTAGATTTTCCCAGCCCTCAGTGAACACTTACTGAATAGAGCCTCAGCTCCCATTTCTGCAAGAAAGCTAAGCGTCACAAAGGTAAACTCCAAAGTTATCAATGGAAAGATAGAACAAATATTTAATACGTCTACTTACTGTCTACAAAGTATCAAAGATGTCACTGTGGTAAACTTGCTTGGTGGGCCTAACCTAGTGACAGGCACAAACCACGCCCCGAGGCCAGCTTGGCTTTTCCAGAACCCGAGGCCAGCTTGGCTTTTCCAGTCACTGAACCAGTGGCTTTGCTTCTTCCTATGGCCTCGTGACCACCACTTGCCTGCGGTGCTCTCCTCCCCTATGGGAGGAGGCAGCAAAGGTGGGCGGGGCTACCTCAGAAGTAGTTGAACCGGCCCCAGACAGCTAGCCTAGCCGTGCAACCCTTGGTCAGCCCCTGCTTCCCAGAACTTCCCTCAGACCCCAGTCAAGAAATCCTCCCTGCCCTTCAGTGACCACCGCAGCTAATAGCAGCTAATTTCCAATCCTCACCTTGTGCAACACTCCTCCTAGCTGGAGAGCTGCCTCATTTCACACTCGAGTTAGAAGTCAGTTACATGTGAAACAAATCAGAGGCACAGTCTCTCTTTTTCTTGGGCATCATCAATTTGTATAATTACCATGTCTCCGCCTTTACTTTTTTCCTACAGCCCAAACCAGGGGAAGCGGTTAAAGTCTTGTACCTCCAAGTGCACAGCCTTGGAGGAAGGCAGCGTGTAACACATCTTCACCTACGGCTCAGGTCCGGCTTTCTGCAGTAGTACAAGCTGATTCGGTGGAATAAAAGCCTTACACAGGGAGCGCTGGAGCTGCTGGCCACACTTGGAGCCGGCACACAGCACAGAACAGCTGCTCAAGGGTGCCTTCTGGGTTGCTGGAAAGCTTTGTATAACATAGCTTACAGACACAACTGACTGCTGACTTTGTTACTTTGTGTGCATTTAGGCCGATAGACCTGCCATTAATGGGCAACGCCATAGCTGAACAACACCTGCACTCTTGTTGGTTGGTTTGTTATTTATTTATCTTTATTTAAATTAGCTACATAATCCTGACTGGTGGGGAATGTGCTCTCAAGTAGGCTGGATTCCTACTTGAGACCCTCCTGTCTCTGCATCTTCGACGCTGAAAAAATAGTAGGTGGGGGGCTTCATCTTTTCAGGCAACCTGCACTAAGAGTGGAGGTGCTCACCTTCAAAAGCGTACCCTGCATCTGGGGAAGAGACCCACTTACACATGACTGACAGGAGTGACCAGGATTGCAGAAAGTTTTCTGATGATGATGAGGAAGGCTCCTAAGTGTATGCTCAGCCTTTTGTTTTTGAGACAGGGATCTCACTCTGTACACCAGGCTGGCCTGGAACTCACAGAAATCCGGCCTTCGCCTGCTAAATGCTGAGATTAAAAGAGTCACTACCCTGCACTCCATGCGCTGGTGTCTTAAAGGGTCTTGGAGGGCTCCTCTTTAAATTCTCAGCTGGTTGAAGCTCTGCAGGTTTTATTTCGCTCACAACCTCCTCTTAGGGGAATGGGGCGAAGCTCCGAGGCTTCTGTGAGGGCGTGGTGGGAAGTAGGGCTTTAGATTTCAGAACCAATGCTGTACTGAAGACACTAGGGGTCAGCAGATTCCCAAGAGTGGTGAGCGAGATTGGGAGCCCAGTGCCCAGGGCATTGCTGGAGGGATGCCCACTACTGGAAGCATCCAACCGCACCGTAGATACATTCTAACCGGCTTGACAGTAGTTTTAACCTTTCCTTGGGCACACTGAAGTCCTCCTGCAAACCCTGGACGCTCGGAGACGCTGATCTGGTGGTAGGGTTTGTGGCCCAGCCCAAGCTAACTGATTTGCATCATACCTTCCCACAGCTCCAACCGTGCCTGCCAATACCAAGAAATATGACCTTATTTGGGCAATGAGTTCCAAGAGACTGCTTCGGGGACTTTTAAGATCAAATAGGGATGGAGGTGGGAATGAGGGTAGGGGCAGGGCCAGAAGAGGTGGCTCAGCAGTTAAACTAAAGGCCAGCGCTGCTCTGGTGCAAGGAGGGGTGTTCAGTTCCCAGCACTCACTAGCACCCCCCTCATGGGGCTCCAGCTGCCTGTAAAGATCCAGGGATCTAGCACTTTCTTCTGGACCCCACAGGCACCTGCACTCACACGTTTGTGTACAGGCACACACAGTTAAATAATTAAAATTAATGAAAGATTAAATGGGGAAGTAGCAGAGAAATTTGCTAAGGACACCCGGCTCTTCTGACAGTCCCTGGAAGCCTCTCCTCCTACCCCATCTCTTCTTCTAATTGGGATGAGAAACCCAAAAGCCCTGGAGACATATGACTGACAGTCAGGCAACAAAGGGGGTGTGGCAACGAGGGGCACTTAGGAAATGAAGCTGACTGCAAGAAACACAGCAGAGGCGTTAATAAAACCAAGTAAGTTCCAGGTAAAATCCAATGGAGTGAAAAAAGGAAACATTCTAAATTATCAGTGTGTGTGTGTGTATGTATGTATATGTGTATTATATGTGTATGTGTGTGTGTATATGTGTGTGTGTATGTATGTGTCCCGCCTGTGCTGGAAATAGAACCCAGAGCTTTGTATAGGTGCGTCCTTCAGCTTCAGCCACGTTTCCAGAAGTGTTTTCTCAAGAACCTTCAAGCTGCTTAAAAGCTAAATCTCATCACTGTAAAGCTAAGTTTATTTATTTTTTCACATTTGCATTTAGTGGCGTCTTACATAACACACGAGCGGACAAAGCATTTTAAGCCCGAAAATCTGAGAGCAAGTTTGACATGCATGTTCAAACTTTCTGAGTTTCATGCCAGCCCTACTCATGCTGTGACACCAAAGCTCCGCACGGTGACAAAGGGGCCATGGTCCCAGAGCCGTGACTGGGGAAGAGAGTGTTATGTGCTCAAGGCCTCGCTTCTTTCTTCCCAGAGGCTGTTAAGTCCATTTTCACTACTGGTTCCTTTTCCTTCCCCAGTGTTTAGCAGTAGAAGAAACTTTTTTTGGAGATGTGCTGATCAGAATTATATTCTCTTGTCTGACAAGAACGGCAGGCTTGTCAAGCAGTGGGGGCACAGGCCCTTAATCCCAGCACTTGGGAGGCAGAGGCCGGCGGATCTCTGTGAGTTCGAGGTCAGCCTGGTCTACAGAGAGAGTTCCAGGACAGGCTCCAAAGCTACAGAGAAACCCTGTCTCAAAAACCAAACCAAACCAAACAAACCAATGGGAGACTGCTGCCAGGTCACTGACAAGCAGAGTGGAGAGGGAACAGGCCTCCACTCCAGCTGTCTGCTGATGTTCATCCCCTGCTCAGCCCTAAGTGGTTTCCGTGTCCTCGGAGTTCAAAAGCCTGCGCATTTCCTTCATGTCTGAAAATGGTTTTATTTGGTACTCATTTGAGAAGCATTGAGGGAACGAAGGGACACCAAAGTCAGCTCTGCGGGTCAATTGCAGATGAATGTTTCTACGAGGGCTGGAGAGTAGGTTCAGTGGCTAAGAGCACTGGCTGTTCTTCCGGGGACCAGGGTGTGGGTCCCAGAACCTATTCGGTGATTTACAACTAGCCTTAACACCAGCCAGTTCCAACACCCTTTTCTGACCTCCTCTGGTACCTGGCAATGGGGTGCACATACTAATGAAATCAAAACATTCATACACATAAATAAAAAAAACAAACAAACAAAAAACCACTTAGGGCTGCTGAGACGGTTCATGGATTGCTGCCAAGCCTGATGACCTAGGTTCAATCCCCAGGACCCACTTCACCAATAGAGAAAACCCCCTCCTACAACTGTCTTTGACCTCCACACACGGGCTGCGGCACAGACAGAAATAAAGGCAATCACTTGGAAGTTGTGTCTGTGCTGACCACAGACAGACTTCAATCTTGTGATTATTCTCTAAAGAGTTCGGTATAAAGATCCTTTGCAGCATGTTTGCTGTGTGTTTGTGATTATAAGCAACTGACCAAGGACTTGGCATTTGGGAAGCCGTATATTATGGGCTGCGTATAAACACTTCTTGGGAAATGAGCACCTGTGCATCTTGGTAACCATGGTGAGTCTTGGAATAGTCCCCCGAGAACACCGAGGGATGAGATAGGACTCCAGAGAACAGGCAAGACTGACTCCACCTCTCGACTTTCCTTAGCTTATTGCATACTGCGAAACACGGCAAAGGCCCTATGCTTCTGTGTGCTTTTGAGGAGGGAAAGTTACATCTATAAAGGGTTTAGATGCTGGAGTTCATCACCTCAGTTCAAATCTTGGCAACCGCCTTGGAACTGAACGACTTCATCTCCGTCAGTAAAGGGGTGATGGATGAAGCCCGTCCTTCAGGTCACCCTCAGGTTTACAGTCACAACACAGGCAATGATTTTAGCATTAAAAAAAAACCATAGTCACTAGGACTCTAATCTCCATATTCCTTAGGAAGAAGGCATGCTGCGACCTACAAAGTCGGAGAAGCAGCCAGCTCTCAGCTCTGGATGGATTCCCAATGTCTGTGTTTATTTCCACCTGTGACAGATTCCCCAGGCATGCACTGATGAAAGTCGGCTGCAAGAACTTCAAAATGCAGCACCCTCACACGGGCCCTGCATCTCTGACGGCAATCTAACGATAAGGCACAGGATTCTGAGAGCAATCACAGGGTTAATGCTTTGATTTGGGACCGATCCAACTCCTTAGGTTGAGTCCCAACAGCAGTCACAAAGGAGCTACTGAGAATTTAAGGTCGCGACGCTCCTGGCAACTCCTCTGCTGTGGCTGTGGCTGTGTCTGTGCGCTGATGTCTGTGTGTGTGCAGCTGTGTGCGCCTGTGTGTGGACGCTGCAATCTGGGGCAGCATCCTCAAGAATGCCATCCCCTTTCTTTGAGGCTAGGTCTCTCGTTGGCCTGGAGGTCACCTATTAGGTTAGAGTGGCTGGCCAGTGAGCGCAAGATCCTCCTGTCTCTACCTCCCCAGCACTGGGATCCTAAGACCAAGGCCACCAGGTCTGCCCCTTCCACGTGGGTTCTGAGGATGAATCTCATCCTCACATGAAGTTGAGTCTAAAAGGCAAGGTATTTACTGCTCAGCCCCTGCTGTCCTTTTTTAAAGAATAAATAAATTAATTAATTAATAAAAATACAGGTTTCTAAGGACTTTAGTCATTCATTCAAAATCAGGTGCCTGGAGGAGGAAAAGTTTAGGCCCCATATATACACAGCCATTCCAGGATTCCTGTTCAAGGTGGCAGACAACGGGGTGTCCTGGGACAGAAGCAGCAAAGGAAGTGATCTCTCCGTGCTGTCTCTCTCTCTCTCTCTCTCTCTCTCTCTCTCTCTCTCTCTCTCTCTCTCGCAAAGCTACTAGCTTTCCACATCTGTACAATGTACTTTCTTCCTAACAGCTGGAAGACATGAGAGGAGGTGCTTAAGCCGTCGGTGTGGACCACGAGGCAGGAAGCGGTAAACTGAGGGTGGGCGGAAGACACGCTGCATCTACAGCTAACTCCAAAGCAGAGAGACACCAGCCGCCTTAAAGCTGCCTTGGGTGGCAGACCTCCACCCTTCTTCCGGATTTCTCACAACATGAAACCCTGCGTCATTAAAGCTTTGGCACTTGGAATATCAGTCACTCGGAGGTAACGATAATCATCTTAACAGAGACTGCCGAGTCTACCGTTGATGCTTCCTAGCTCAGCTGTGGTACCAGAGCCACGCTGACGTAATACGGCGAATCCCTTGTAAACGGGGTTCCGGGCCATCAGTCATCTAGAGGTATCTAGAACCCACCTCACACGCCACGGGATACA